AAAGGTGATTTGGATTTTGTTTACCATGTTCCATCTTCTTCTGAATCTTCACTAGTAGAATCGCCAATGTCCATATTTCTACTAACAGTCTTTTCAAGGCAATCTAGCCTTTTTTATCATGTTCCTCAAAATTCTTCCAGCTTATGCCTATTGCCCAATTTCACAGCCACTGCCACAGTTTTAGGTATTTCTTACAGCATCCCCACTTCCATGAATCAAAATCTGTATTAGTTTCCTGTTGCTGCTGTAACAAATCACCACACACATACTGGCTTAAATCAACACAAATTTATTATCTCACATCTCTGGAGGTCAGAAGTTCAAATTGTATCTCACTGGGCTAAAATCAAGGTGTCAGCTGTGCTGTGTTCCTTCTGGACATACTAAATGAAAATCTGTTTTCTTGCTTTTCTAAATTCTGGAGACTGCCCACATTCTTTGGCCGTGGCCCACTTTCATCTTCAAAGCCAGCAATGGCAGGTCTAGTCATTCTTCTTTGCATCACTCTGACATTGACTCTTCTATATCCCTCTTCCAGATTTAAAGGACCTTTGTGATTACATGAGGCCTACCCAGATCATCGAAGATTTGCAACCTTAATTCCCCCTTGACATGTAACAAAACATATTCTCCGTTCCTGGGCTTAGGACGTGAACATCTTTGAGGGACTATTATTCTGCCCACCACAGTATATCTTGAATAATGATAAATTTTCAATTCTTCTGTATAAATATGATCTACTGTGTAAACTGATCCGTGCTTTCTTTGTTTGCTTCATCTAATATCATAACCCTAACATTTCCACTACTCTGGATTTCTTCCATTTTCTCAAGTGCACCATGCTCATTTCAGGTCAGGATCTTTGCTCATGCTATTTCCTTTGCCTGTGTTACTCTTCCTTTCTGAATCCCCACAGCTCCTCTTCCCCAGACTACTCTTATTTATCCTTTGGCTATCAGCTTAAATGACTCTCCTTCAAAGACAGTTTCCTTGATCCTGTGACTCCCTAAACAAGAATGTAGATTCCCATTACATCCTTAGTTTCTCTTCATATCATTTATCTTAATAGTGATTAAATTATTATCTGTGTAACTGCTTGTTTAATGACTATTTTTAAGGCACTATGAAAGTAAAGTTCTAACTTCATTTGTTATAGGCCTAACACCCAGCAGAATAGGTGCACAAAAAAATTCTTCATAACATTAATTTTATAATTTAGGGTACTGAAGCTCATAGAAATTAAATAACTTCACCATAGAAACACAACTAATGAAATTCCACTTGGGTCTAACTGGTTTCAAAGCCCATCTCTTCAAAGCCCACAGTCACTGTGTTATTCTACTCTAATGCGGCATCAAAATGACCATTGTCTCTAAGTCCACAGATACTCTCTGATCTTCATACTGAAGAAAAGTACTCACTGCCACCTCACTTTCCTTAATGCAGTTACCGTTGCCTAGTCAAGTCAATGACTCACCACCAAATGCCCAATTTCATTCCTGTTTTCAAATACTGGCATAAGGTAGACTTGTGAACATTTTTTTCTCCTTTAAAATCTTAAAGTTCTTTAAAAATAATTACTAAATATTTATTTCCCAATGACCAGCTCGGGGAAAAAAAATGCTTTGATTTTATCTACTTCTCTCGTGGGGATTAGTGACATTATAAAATCTGTGAACACCTTAGAAGAAACTTTATCAAACCAACAGAGGAAACTATCTAGTTTGGGAACCTGGCCAGAAAAAATGCTAAAACCAAAGATCTAAAAATCATGTTAGAAAGTCCTAGAACTATGCTTCTGTATTCTCTCATTCTTGGTGTCTCATGTACAAAGAGGAAAGATTATTATAATCATTATCTTGAAGAATATTCCCTAGATTTTAAACAAAGTTGGTAGAATTCTATTTATAATTGCACTAGCCCTTAACATTTCAGAATTCTTTACCACCTTTCATAGGTCTTTTGACTGTCAGAACCTGGTCCTCTATTTTATAAAATCATAAGTGTATTTTTGTGTCTATCAGTCAGACTGTAGCTAGAAATACATGGAAGATCTTGATATAGATTCCAAGCTGTTGTCTGGTCACTTTTTTCTTTTGAAAAGTATAATTGGCACAGATCAAAAGCCACATGTATCAAAAGATGATCTAATTTAGCATCTTATTACTTCAATTCCCAAAGCAACTATAAACCAAATTTCAACAACAAAGCAATTTTAGTGATGCTATATATGACAAAAATCAGGTATGACTTTGAAATACATTTCTACTTGCTTTTATTATACATATGTAATAAATATAATAGTTATTAAGTAATAGTAGATTCTTAGTGCACAATAATTTACAAAAACTATTTAGTTTCTAAAAGTACTGAATTATAAGCATATTAAAAAAACAATAAAGAGAAGAATGAACTAGCTAAATGGAGAAGCAATATTAAATGAGCAAAAATCATTGGGAAATTGTATGTTGAGATTTCTTTAATTTAAAGATAAGAGACAAAAGAAGATAGAGAGATTTGATGGTTCAAAAAGCTCTTCCATCTATTTGGAACATACCTGATAGCACAAAGTAACTTATCTGATAGGTTTATGTGAAATCTGAGAGCGCTTCACAGATTTGTAATGTGTTACTATTCCTGCTATGCCATTTTGAAGACTATACAAAAATATCCGCCGCACCCTCAATTCACTATAAAGCGAATCCATAAAATCTTCAGAGGCTGAGAGCTTTTGTCTCTCTAAAATCCATGTAATCCCAGCGAAGCCCAGAACTGACTTCTTAAAAACAGTTTCCACATTCTAATAGCAGAGAAAAGACCTTTCAGAGGTAATGCAAAACTATCAAGCAGGGCCAAAGGTCTACCTGTTGTCAATTTTATAATCTAAATCTGAGAATAAGAGAAATCATTAGAGCATAATAAACACATCAGTAATACATGCCTACTGAGAACACAGCAGGTAGCAAATACTTGCCGATTGATTGGCTATATGAAATAAGGTGCATAATTTGGCAAGAAATAAAACTTTACACCTCCAAATCTCGTAAACTATCTTTGTCAGGCATTTACTCTGTCTAAATATTGTGCTTGGTACCAACAAGGAAACAAAACAATTCATCAGTGTGCCCTGATATGTAGTAAGTATGGCCAATTCATTCACAACACAATGCCTACCTTGAAGAACTGGCAATTTAAATAAAAATGAATACTAAACATTTCTTATAAAAATTTAACCAGGAGAAGATATTGGTGCCTTGAGACTATTTCCTAGAAATTGTCTAGCATCAGAACATAAAATGCACAGTCCTGAAGGTTTCTATTTGTGACAGCTCAGACGGTCTTCAGAGAAAGACAAGAACACCAATATAATTTAAAGGACCTTTGGAAATTTTAAGGGCACTTCAACGCCATTTGTTTATCAGGAGCTTTAGCTTCTGTAAAGCTTTCCACTTAATCAAATTGGCAGCCGTGAAGTAATTTTGTTTCCAGCTCACAGGGATTGAAAAATCAGAGATTGAAAAAAAAGGAGAAAAACAGAAGCTTAACTCTAATGACACTTATTCTGCTCTGTGAATTTTGCTGACAGCCTAAGTCTTATATCTTTTATTAGATTTGGTCATTGTTTTTAAAGGAGTCAATATCCAAATCACACCCTCACTCCCCACCAAAAGAAAAGAACTTTAAGTAAATAAAATATTATCACGAATATCCCTCACAATAAAAGCATTTAGTGGGCTCACCATAATTAAAACAGAAAATTGCATTTAACTTATTGTAAGAGTAAACTTGCTTTAAATAAATGCAACACATGTCAATTTCCTCCTTTTCCAACTGTAAGCTTTGGTGTTACTGTCCGTGGTGACACATACTGGCTATACCACGCAACAACACCACTACAGAAACACTCAAGTTTTATTTTATGCCTATTTCTTGGTGGCAAATTTGCTGAAGTGGTTTTATTTTGCATATCCAACTCTTTAGTAATTATGAGTTGCACTTTTTTTGAAGCCACAGCACCGAAATCACAAAAGAAAAACTGGGTGAGGTGGGGAGAAGATGCCTTAGTCAGTCCATCAAATATGTTAAACCAAATTCCATTTCTCTTTTGCCTTCATGTGTACTTTACCATATGTGAAACTAGTCTTTCTGTATGTGTTTAGCTACCTTTTAGAAGCTCATGCTACAGCACCTTCCCACAAACCAAGCAGTCTTCAAAAAGGTTGGTAAGTCAAAGCTGAAGGGTCGATGCATTGGAATTTGCTTTGACTACATAACACACCTAAATAAATTTAAATGTAGACACTTGTGCAGAGCCAAAGTCCACTGACTTCAAAGTTTAAAAATCCTAAGTACACGATTAATGGTGAGACAAAGTATACTTTTGAATTAACATTTATTTGAAATATTTTCAAAATAATTTTTAAGAGAATATTATTTCCTTTCTCCTGTCATTGATGGAGAAGAATCATTATCTTTCAGCGAGGAACCTTGTCTCAAATATAGTGTGTTTGTGACATACAGTAGTTAAAACTATTGAAAGATATTAATTTCTCCACAAAGCTACCCCCATAAAGAAATTCCTCTGCAACTGGGCACCACTGTACTTGAAACTTTCAGAGAGCAGTGTCTTAACTAAGATTAAGCTACCCTATTCCCTACCTAAATCAATTTCACTCAAATGAGGCGTTTGTGTTATAATTCATTGTTACCCAGACTCCAAAATCAACCATCTGCCATCGGAGTTTCTGTACAGTAATTAAGGGACTATCCATTAGAACTGGCAAGAGTACAAAGTAAGAAAGAGGAGGGGGCGGGGGAAGAGAGAAACCAAGCCACTTAAAAAGAGATGGAAGGTGTGTGTATTTCACACTGACCCCTCCACATCTCAGCTCAGATGTCATCCATGAGGCAAAACAGAAGTTAGGAAGAGCGGTCAGGCCAGCTCCTCCCGGGATTATCCGAACTGAAACCACACTGGGGACTGAGCACGCGCCTCTTACCTTGAAAAAGAAAGGCTTTCGTCCCATTATGTAGCCCGGGGACCTGGCGCACTCCGGTCGTGGACTCCCCAAGTCCTAACTCCGTTAAGACGTCAATCTGTTGGGAGGGGTCCACACCAAGACCCCAGACTGGTGGGAGTGGGGGAGGGAGGAGGAAAGAAAGAGAAACCTCCATCAAAATATGTCTCTTCCTCCAAGGCAGCAAAGAACCGCGTCTTAGAGACAATATTGGAAACTGACAAGAGGCGACTCCCTCCGCTGCCTTACCTGAGATCAGCAATCAAGCTTTAAAGAGCAGAGCACCCAGCCCCATTTCCATGACCTACTTTAAACCCCTCTCGGTGCAAAGTTCCCCTTGGCCCTCAGACCCTGGACTAGGGGTGTGACCCGCCCTGCTGTCCCCAAGACAAGCACAGAAAAAAATCCGAATCCAAACCCACCACCTACTCCAAGCTTCCCACTCCAGACCTACTTCAGGTGGAGGAAGAGCGAGGCGTCCCCAGGCAGCTCGGGCTGCCCAGAGGCGGGGGCCATCCCTTCTCCCGCCCCAGCTCTGAGGCCACTCACCTGCTCCGAGACCGAAGAGCAAACAGAATGTTCTCAGTAAGACCCGAGACTCCATGGTGTGGATCTGCTCAGTCCATCGTCTCCCTCTTTAAAAATAAAAATCGAAGAGGTTCTTGGAATCAAGCGGGAAAAATAGCGTTTGTCTTTCCTGCCGCTGCCTTGGATTTACTGATTAGTAAGAGGAGTACGATTTGGTTGCCTAAGAAAAAAAAGGGAGGACCCCCCGGGCGCGTGAAGAACTTAGACCCTCCAACGCGCACATCATTCCCACACGCAGACCCAGGCGGCGGGGCGCGGGCTGGGAGGCGGCCCTGAGGGAGGGGTCGGACTCGCCGGGGGCTGCTCCGCCGGGGAATTAGCTCCGGAGCCGAATCAAAGCAGCCGAAGGCACTCACACCCGGAGGAAGGAAAGCCGCCCCAAGAAAGCCGGGGCTGGGGCGG